TTTCCGTGTTTGTGCCTATTACTGCGTAGCTTATTCCTCATTGCATCTTTCAATCAACATCTTTCATCTGCAGTGGACCTATAAATATACAAATTATCTGTGGACGACCATTCGTACATTCCTTTTTGGTCACCGTCCACAAGTTAGAAGGCTCCAGGATAATAAGCCAAGTTGGAGTAAAAAATTCAACCAACTGTTGAATGAAGCAATGATTTAAATTACTGTCTAAATTAAAAATTGGTTTCGCTTTCAACAGTAATCAAAGTATAATTGAACGTTGGTTCTGGAAACAGCAGCACAATTTTGAACATAAAATGGTTTCTCAGTCGACGTCCTTATTTCAACTTCGCATACATACGTTATCTGGTGGAAGAAAAGTTTTAGACTGTCTAAATTTTTTATGTGTTTGTGGCGTTTAGAAGTGGTTAAAGATTTTTGCGTGTTTTGATAAGAGTTTTTTTAGTTTTGCGAAACTGTAAAGGGAAAAAATGATACTTTGAAAAGTATTGAATAAACAGAAATACCCAAAACAGAAAAAAAAAAAATTATGAATAAACAACAAGTGGAAAGTGTTAACAAACGGTAAGCAAAAAGTACATTACAGTTTTTTTTTTTCTTTTTGCGCTAAATTAGTGCATATAATAGTGAATAAAAGTTCTGATAGGACTTTTTTTTGTTTGAAAAAAATTTTCTATACTGGCAGTACTTTTTTCCATTGTTGCCTTTTTTTTTTTGTTTCTCTTTGATGATGAGGAAAGTGTAAGCATCTGCTGTTAAGGTAAATATGAAACTCTGGGGAATGGTTACTTTGCTGTTTTTTTCCGATTGTTATCGAAAAAAATCCAGATTCATAAAACGGTAACTGCAGTGGTAATGACATACTAAGGCTTTTGCTAAACTTTTTGCAAAATTTTCCAGGCAAAATTGTTATTTTTGACGAAGAAATTTTTAGAGGCTTGTTGACCTTTTTTTGACAATCTATTGTTTTCTAAGTTTAAAAAGTATACATGTTTACGGCCGTGTAACTGGTATAATTTGAGTTAATTTTTAGAAAGCTGAAAACAGCAAGGAAAACTGCAAGAGATTCTGAAAATCAGAAATGCTTATGAATTCACTGCGAACTTACAGTAATTGAAATAAAAGTTTTATGCCTGTTGGATTTCAAAGTTCTCTTTTTTTTATTGTTTAAAATTGGCCAATATACCGGTGGCAACGTTGATACATTGTTTTTGACTGATTATCTGTCGTTGGCCCCTCATATAATCAGTGTTGCTGAAAAATGCATTAATCAAAGTAAGCGATGTTTAGAAAAAAAAATTTGCTTAAAGAAAGTTGAGTGTTAAGAAATTACTTATTTTTTTTATTCAGCTAAATTTTGATCAACAACTGAAAAATTTTTATTTAAATTTAGGAGAATTGGTTTTTTTTTTATAGGCTGGTAATCATGAGTTAAAATTTTAACGAGATATTGGTAGGACGTTCAGAAGTACCACTTTATTTTGTGCAGTTTTTGATGATGCTTTAATTACTTGGTTTTTGTATTCCAGTGAAAATTTGCCATATTCTTCTAAATGTGCAAAAACATGTCAGCTTTGTAAAATAATCAGACAAGAGTACGGCCCTGCCTTGTAATATTTGTTGATGCAAACATTCATCAGTTTATTGTCAGATATTTCAACAAAAATATGTGCAGTTAAGGATTTAGCACTGAAAATAACTTCAGACGATCAATTTTTATATGTTGAAATTATTTCATCAATTTTTGACGCTATATTAACAATATTAACCGTATAAACAGTCAACAGTAACGAAATAATGCCACTGGAAGATAGATAAATGTCATAGTAGAAATACAACATTGGTAATAGGTGGGTCGTCAGAGACAGTGGTAGAAATTTCTCAAGTTTTAAACTTCCAAAGAAGTACTGTTTTCAGTACCAGTTGCGGTAGCTCCCAAGATGCAAAATTAGTAGAATTACGGATTGCCAATACTCACTTTTTCTGCAAACCTTTGCCTTTACGCATTACAATAATTAATATCGCAACTTTTGCTCATAGTTTCTCAGTGGGTATAGTCTGATCATCTTTCAGATTAGCTTTGAGGTTTTTATGTTGATTTAGGAAAAAAGCAAAGATTTGGTTCATTCAAAATTGTTCATATTTGACAATAAAAAGTGCTCAGTTTCACTGGATCACAAAAATGAGGTTTACTGTACGAAGTTTTAACGCTGAATCAGCACAAATTGGACGTTTTGAAACAAAGTGGAAATGAAAACTGGACGATATTGAAGCAAATGAGGTAAAAAAACGTTGAAAGTTGTCAACGATTAAGCACAGAAGACTTTTAAGAATCTTTCTTGTTTATTGTTTGATGTCTAGAAAACTGGGTAACATTAAAATACACCTGGATTTTCGCCACAGGCTCGCAAGCTGCAATTTTTTACTAATTTAAACGAAATTGAGAAATAAACTCTGGTTGTTTGTTACAAATAGTAGCACACTTTTTTTTGGAAGTTTAACAGAACTTGGTATTTTCTTCTGTTCGTCTTCTTTTCCGGAAAACAGTCATGCACTTTGTGCTCACTAGCAATTTTTGACACTTCGCTGAGGGAACTGAAGTATT